TCATCCTCGAGTCTAGTTGCGTGGTTGCTGCTTCAGGAGACTTCAAGGTACATCTGCCGCGTCTGCAGACCTCGGAGTCCTCTTCTATCCCATTGTGTTGGTTTCCCCCTTGTTTTCTTCAGATATAAATGTATAGAGTAGTTAGAAACTCTTAGAAGCTTGTGACGCTGCGACATTCCGGGTTTTGGGAAAGATGATTATTGTATATGCCGAGTGGCACCGTTTCCGCTTATTAATTATATTTTTTAGCTGTTATCTTTGTGTTTTCATTTCATTTTCGCAATATTAGGCTTACCAAGTCGTAGAGACTAGGTGCCGTCACGACAGTTCACGGAGGGATTAACTAGGTTGTGACATGGATATGCAAAAGAGGAAGTGAATATGATGGAGAGATTCTCTATAAGACACATATACAAAGCTATGCAAGGGGAGTTTCAGAAGGTATCATGGAGAAAACTAATTTGTAATAATCATGGACTACCAAAATGGATCTTCATTCTGAGATTGACAATACAGGATAGGCTTGCTACAAAAGAAAGGCTAGCAAGATGGGGATTAATGTAGACAAAACATGCTCACTTTGTCAAAAAAAGAACGAAACTTTACAACACTTATTTTTTGAATGTAAAATATCAGCAACTTTATGGCAGCAACTCCTACAATGGCAAGGCATCCAGAGAGCAAAGCTTGATTGGCAGGAAGAGTTGAAGTGGATAGAAAAGAAGGCCAAAGGCAAAAGTAGCGAGGCAGCAGTATGCAGAATGTCGATAACAGCAGCAGTTTACCATGTTTGGCAAGAGAGGAACAATGTTATCTTCCAGCAGAAGAAGAGATCTGTTAAGGCCATCCTGAGACTAATCATTCAGGAAATACATGTTAGAGCTATGATGTTTCCTAGTCTAGATAGAATCATGAATACTTTGAATTGGTACCCTGAAATAGTATAGCTGAGAAGAGATGTAGAAGAGGGAGCGTAGCAAGGCTAGAAAACTCTTAGCTGGGGCCTTAATTACTGGGTATTGTTATTGTATGTCATTTATTTTATAGTTTTTATGCTTCTATCACTATTTTTATGATTTCTGCTGACGTTGCTGAAGAATTGTCTCTTCTTGTTTTATTTTCATCTTCCTGAGCCGAGGGTCTATCGGAAACAGCCTCTCTGCCCCATTGGGGTAGGTGTAAGGTCTGCGTACACTCTACCCTCCCCATACCCCACTTTGTGAGATTTTACTGGGTCGTTGTTGTTGTTGTAATGTGGTAAGTTACTAAAAGTTTCATGTCATAATTTGATAATACTAAGTTACGGATAATACAATTAGAATAATCGAAGAACAAAAAAATAATATAAATATTAGAAAAATATAAAATATAAGACTTATAAGTAGAATTATGATAAGAAAATTCGTACATATACTCATAATTGATAACAAATAAAGAGTCATAAAAGAAGAATATTAAACAAAGAAAGAATTCCAAACGATAACTAAAAATTCCATATTGAAAAACAATTAAAAAAATAAAGTAATATTAGAATATTTATACATAAGAATATATATATATATATATATATATATATATATATATATATATATATATAGTGTTATTAGTATAACACAAATAAAAATTATTAAAATATTATTATATTTTTAAAAAAGAAAATTAAAAGGCTTATCATTCTATTGAAAAAAGATATTACATATTTTTAATTACAAGTAGAATGCAAAATGAGAAAACTAATCAAATATCACAGTAGAAAAGAATGTATAAAAAGAGAGGGATAAAGATAATATTAGAATATTTATACTTTAAATTAATTAATAATAATGAGAGGTAAGCAAATAATTGTAACAACTAAATTTCGCTCCTGAAAAATAATAATCAAGACAAGAAATATAGCGACAAATATTATATTCAATTTCAAGTGGTGGGGTTACAATCTCTAAAATATCTCTAAATCTAAAGAGATGTAGTCCTCTGATTCTTCTCCTCACGGATGATGGTTCAAGAGCTTGAAAGCTTGATCTTGAACTTGACGGATTTCAGATTTGTAGTGAGTCACGAACAATTTGAAGGTCGTCACGAACCAGGATTTGGTGTTGGGTTATCACGAACGGAAGATTTGAAGCCGTCCGCCTATGACTTGAGTTCGCCTTTGGAATTTGACCACAGACGACGATTGCAGATATGGGTGGAGATTTTGATGCTATTCTTCAGAGCTTCTTTAGCCTTTCCTTCTGCTTATTTGCTTGTCTCTTAGCCTTCTCCCTTGACCCCTTTATATAGGTGTGGGGTGGAGTAGACTCCAAGAAAACCCTAGTGGATCATTGGGCTTGTGGCTTATGGGCCGGTCCATTTGATAGAAGACCAACTAACGGGTTAGCCCAATAATACATTGGACTTTTATTTAGATCAATATATTTTAGATTTAAATAGTCGACCCGATTATACTAGCTCATAGTATCATTTGGACTAATATGTATTTAATACATGATAAAATCCAAATTACTTGTGGATTTAAATTTAATAAAATTTTATTTGTCTACAAATGCCCCCTGCTTCAAGGCTTGTCGGGATGTAGGCTTGCCGAAATGAATGGCGAGACTTGAAGTACCGTTGATGATGACAATATTTCCCCCATCATTTTGTAAGATACCGCACTGATAATTGTTTACATGTTCTATTTTTGAAGAGTGAATTGACGTTATCAATGATTTGAATTGGCAACTTTTTACTTCATTCAGAGCGAGCCAAAACAATCCCTAATTGCAAGCTTGGCTCTTGTAGCTTAACTCCCCTTCTCCAGTGAAAAAAAAAAAGAAATTTGGTGGCCCTTCTTTTGTAGTATCAACTTAATTAAAGAATAATTAAGCTCATACTGAACTAAGTCAAACACATCCACCCAGGACAAATTAAAATTTAAACCGCTGGATTTACGAGAAATATTTGATTTATTCACTTGAATTCCGGTTCAAAAGGTATGCTTTCCTTGGAATATTTACTCAAAGAAAACTCTCACAACATAGTGCTCCTCCAATATACCGGATTCCCCTATCTCAACAATACAGGAAAATGAACATGTGATTTTGTCTTTTGTTTCATGCCACTGTATTTCATATCGTGGAATTGCAAAATTCTATCTTCTGAGCATAGTCTTGCAATATATTTTTGCACAAGCCTGTCTCATGCACTGGCTGAGAAAGGCACAATGACACAGTTGAGAGTACTGTACTGCACTGGCTGAGAATGGCACAATGACACAATGGCACCATGTCTTGCAGCATAAAATTTTATTTGTCTACAATGAGCTCACTCTTTCTTGATGCGTCTCCATCTCACAGTTTCCAAATGAGTATATCATTGTGGCAATTATGGATTCAAGATAAACTGCAGAACACTTATGCCATATATATAGTTGTCATGTTACATTGGAAAGCATGTCGCTATATAGTTGTCCGATAGCATCAAACATGGAAAATTTTGAAGCTTTTTCCACTTTCCCGTAACAACACTTGGGCTGACAATAATTTTCTTTTCCTACTTTGATGTCCTAGTTTCAAACCTATTCATGTACAAATCGGACATGATATTTCCTTATTTGCACATGCTAGTAGCTTGAACACCAAGAGTTTCCTTAATTTCTTCCTTGCTGGTTCCTATAAATTGGCCACTTTCTGCTTGTATCGTTACCATAGCAATAGTCCTCCGCTCTTTGATGAAAGCAACAGTACTGCTTTTTGGTTGGTTTCAAAGCTACTCTTCAATAGTTAGCAACGCAATCCCGTCGCTCGATTCTCCTTTGCAGCTGCTGCCAAGAATTTCAGCTTTGTGCGTCTTAACCAAAAAAATCATATCTTGGTGTAGGAATATCGAAATCACGAGTAGTTTACGGCTACAGAAACTAGACTAGGAGTACTACAACATGCCAAAGATTTGGATTTAAATTCATATTGTATCATCCCAGGTGAGCTTCGTAATCTTGGTTCAAGTTCTGTCACGCTCAACATTTCAGTTTTGCGCGTCTTAACCAAAAAAATCATATCTTGGTGTAGGAACGCCGAAATCACAAGCGGTTTGCGGAAACAGAAACTAGACTTCCAGAGCTACGACATAGGTAAAAATCATAATCAGAATATGCTGATATATTCCCAGATGTTTTCTCGAATTTAGGCAATATATTAAGACATGCTGCCCCATTCTGTCTTGCTGTTTTTTTTTCATAGATTCTTCCCTTTTTTTTTTTCGCAGACTCTCGGAGCAGCACATAGGGCTGCGAATTCCATCAGCAAGGATGCGTTTCATCGACCACGATACACCATACCCACACCTTGAGATTATTAGCGACAAGCAGAACCCGCGCGCCCAAGTTCTAACTTTAAAAGTTCATCCTCCGGTGATAGGTGCTTTCCCGCTCGCCAGAAAGCCACTTGACGCCTCCCTTGATCTTGCAGAATGGTCGACTAGAGAGACGAAGGATGCATTGGACAGATTTTCGGGCAAAGCAACCAACATGAAGGTCCTACTTTTGAAGTCCTCCACCCATCAAAAGGTCGCGTCTGCTAGTCCTCCTCATCGTGATTACGATGGACGTCTCTCCACTTGGAGTGTTCCTCCTTCCGGATTTGGTGAAGTTCGCTATACGTCCAAATATTGGGAGTGGGTAGAAGATATTCTTGCACGCAACAAGTTGACTCTGGATGGCATCAAGGTCTATGACGCCATCTTTGCTTCGTTGTTCACATATGACTACAATGAGAATGTCCTCCGTGCCTTTTGTGAGCTTTGGCGTCCATCTACCAACACAATTTCTACCTCTATTGGTGAACTCTCCATCTCTTTGTGGGACTTGCGAGCAATCGGAGGCCTCCTAGTGCATGGGTCTTTCTACGACGAAGTTATCCCCTCGGCTAAGGAGTTGACGCAAGAAGACGATCAAGGAAAACCTTTCCTCCCGAGAAGTTGTCTGCACCTGTTTTCGGCATTCCACTAACTCATGAAGGATGATGTCCATGAGGTCTCCATTCGTGATTGGGTGGAGTTTTGTTTTTCGAGGCCCGAGTAGGTATGCCAAGCCTCCGCAAAAATCATCAAGGAATCGGACTACAAGGCCGAAATTGAATCATAATCCTTCTGGAAATATTGACGCAAGCTTCCTACCACGAACCGATGAGGAGAATGCCCTCTTTATTGAGCTTGGCGTGGAGGAGTCACTTAGAGCTGAGACTTATTTGGCGGCTTTCCTTGCATGTTGGCTTTGCAAATTTGTGTTCCCCAACAAGAAGATTGACTACATTCGTGCTAGTGTCTTCAAAATTGCGAGTTTGATGGCTCATGGAGAGAAGTGTTCCTTGGCGGTTCCCGTCCTTGCAAGTATTTATCATGGCTTGAAGGAGGTCTCCACTTCTCAAGATTTGGGCGCCTGCAAAGCACTCTTTCCTATTCATTATGTATATGGATGGATAGGAGCATATTTTGACACCTACTATCGTGTTAAGCGTCCACAACGAGGTCCGCAGATGTGCAAAGTTTCTGGCGAGAAGATGGCCAAGCATTTCGACCTTAGTAATGCCCGTGAGTTGTTTCAACAAGTTAGTGCGCGACAGCTTCACCATTTGGCTATGCTACAAGGGAGGGAATTGCATCTTACCGATCGTGACGAACAATCGAATTCTTGGAGTGACTTTTTTTTAAGTCTTCGCTCAAGCTTCATCACCCTTAGGCATGATGACATTCATATTGTGGAATCTTACAGCCCGCATAGGTTTAGTCGTCAATTCGGCTTTTGTCAAGATGTTCCTGGCAAACTCATAGAGAGACCCTATGACGGCTCGCTGAAAATGCTAGTGCAATTCTGGGATTCTTGTGTTCGTCTTGGAGGTTCGTCAAAAGTTATTGTCCCTACGCGTCCATCAGAAGAGGGCCCTCTAATGACTCGTGAGTATGCAGATTGGTGGTCAGCTCGTCGAGTGCACTCTTCCCGACAAAGCGCTCATATCATTTTGAAAGTTCCAAGGAAAGATGATATTCCTTTATCCTCTAAAGATGATCAACGTCAAAAGGACACCCACGGAGGGTCATCCAAGTCCAAGTTAAGATCTAAAGATCCTTCGCCAAGCACCAAGCTCTTATCCGAGTCTACCCTTTCGACTGGCGGGGATGCCCATGTGGACAAAGGAGCTAAAAACGTTTTGTTGAGTTCCAAGACAACTACTGCCACTGTGGAGGTGACGAACAATCCTTGCAAAAGGAAAGCGCCTCCTACTTCACCAAACAAAAATGTTGCGAAGGAACCCAACGTCGCTCCAACAAACGAGGAAAGGACTCAAGCTTCTGCTTTGCCCAATGAGATTTTGAATGTTAGTGCAACTTCCAGTTCGAACGAGAGTGATGTTAGTCATGACATACATTGGAATCGTTCAAAGAAGAAGGCTAAGGACACGAGCCATAGTGAGTTTGCACTTGGATGCTCTTAGTATCGATACTGGATTTTTCGTAGAGGGCGACCCTAGCTCAACGATGCCGTTGTCTGAACTGGAGAAACGAGTAAATATTATTTCTTTCAAATTTACTCCCTTTCTTTTTCTTTTTGAACACTAATTAATTATTATTATTTTTTTGTTTGCAGTTGGGCGTCAATGAGTTGTATGATGATGTACTTGGTGACGACATGGTGGAAGACTGTGTTACAAGCCCAAATTCCCTCGGTGTGGTCGCAAAAAGTCCTCACACTTCATTTGATGGTGTTGAACATCATGCTGCAAACAATGCTCCGTCGACAGATTTGAGTCTACCCAAAGAGTCGAACCTCGTTCTTCCAGAAGATGTTGTGCCTTCCAAGCCAGCCATGACGAGTAAGATGGAGGTTGCCGCAAGTCAAGCAAAACGTCTAAAAGCCTTCGAGCCTACTCCATGGCCGTTGCATCTTGATGCTCCAAACTTCAAGCCACAAGAGACTATTTCCCGTATTAAACTTTATTTTGTTAACACGATGTGGCATACCTTGTGTGAATGGATCGAAGGGTTCTCTCTTGATTCTCTGGATAGCTTCACAAAGTTGGAGGAAAGTATTGCTTTGAGTCTTGAGGAAATTAAGAAAGAAAATGTTATTGATACTTCTACTTTAGAGGCTCTTGTCGAGGCTTTCTTCAAGACGTATGCAGATTACGATGCTTTAAGATCGTCCAAGATGACTAAAGAATTCCACCAAGAGTCACTTTCTGATGCGCGACGACGCCTCGATGATGCAAAACAGGAATATGAAAAAGTGAGCGAGTCTGTAGAAAAACTTCAAGCCAGTCTTGTGAATGTTGAACAACAGCTAGCTTCCTTGGCCTCCAGAAAGAAGAAGATCGTCGCGCTCTTGGACAAACAACAGGTGAAGTTGGCTAAAAGTCAAGAGAACGTTGACGTTACCGAAGGGGAGATTTATACCATCGAAGCCAATCATCCATTATCTGCCGATGAAGCAGAGAAATTATCCCTCCTGAAAGGGGTAGTTGAGACAAGCCACCAACAAATCCTTAGCTTCAAACCTTTTCCATGATTTTAGAGTTTTTTTTTTCTCTCTCTCTCTTTTTTTTTGCTTAGGATTCTCGACTTGCGATTTTTTTATAACTAATATCATATAATGGAGTACTTATGTCTTGGAGCAATAAAAGTATCTTTATTTTTTTTTAATATGTGATATCTCTCTTTGAGACATGGATTCCCTCTGTTACTCCCAATCGTTTCCTTCTTAAATTTCAGCATATGTCTTGTATGTTGGTTTTGTTGTTTCGCGACAAAGGATTCATATTTTGCTGCAGGAGACTTCAAGTCATGAGCCACTTGCTTCTACCGAAACTAGACTCATAGGACTGAAACATATCAAAAAATTAGCACGAATCTCCTTTTGTATCAGCTGAAATCAATTTTCAAAGTCGATCTACACGTCTGGCCCGTGTTCAGCTTACAGCTTTGCGCACTCTGCGCAAAATAAATCATATCTCGAGATAGGAGCATCCAAATCACAAGCCGCTTGCGGTGTCAGAAAATAGACTCGTAGATCTAAAACTCATATAAGTTTCATAGCAAAACTCCTTTAGGACTGTCAACAGAAAATTCACGAAATCGACTCAACTGCAGTGAATTTTCAGATTTGCGTACCTTCGGCGAAAATAATTGTATCTTGAGCTAGGAGTGTCGGAATTGTAATCCGTCCGTTCCGTTATAAAGTAGGCTCGGAGCTCTAAAACTTATACAAATTTCATAACAGTACTCTTTTCGGACTGCGAACAGAAAATTCACGAAGTCGACTCAACTGCAGTGAATTTTCAGATTTGCGTACCTTCGGCGAAAATAATTGTATCTTGAGCTAGGAGTGTCGGAATTGCAATCCGTCCATTCTGTTAGAAAGTAAACTCAGAGACCTGAAGTATCTACAAATTTCATGGAAGAACTTTTTTTGATCTACCATCAGAAAATTCGCGAAGTTGACGCGACTGCAGTTAACTTTCAAATTCGCATGCATATAGGAGTCTTTGCGGCATAAGACCTTCTGGATTAGTCAAAACTCCAGATCATGTATTCCACACATTTTTTTTTGAAGCTTATGCGACTGAACTTAGAATGAAACTCTAAGCTGCCTACGTACCTCGGTGAAGAGGATCAAGTCATAACGTAGTTCAAAATGGGTGAGTTTTTCTCTTTTTTTTTTTCTCTTTTTTTTTTGTGTCCTAACTTTTGCCTAGGCCGCCTCTTTCGAGGTTTTCAACCTAGCGGACTCCCTCTTTTTTTTTGGGTGCCATTCGCAGTTTAGGCTCGTGCGGGCGAGGAGCATTGCAGCATGCAGTTTAAGCTCATGCATCAAGGAGCGTCATGACTTGCAGTTTATGCTCGTACGTCGAGGAGCATTTGTTCTTCAAGGATAGTACCTCTTCAAAAATTTCCCGTTGATAGGGCCAATTCTCATGCCATCTGCATCAACTAACTTGTAAGCTCCACTTGAATAGGCTTCTTGCACAACATATGGACCATCCCACTTTGAAGTGAATTTGCCCCCAGATTTGCGAGAGGTGATAATAGGTCTTCTTACTGCAAGAACTTGATCGCCAACTTGGAAGGACCTCAAGCGAACCTTTTTGTTGAAAGCATGAGAAAGACGAGCTTGATAACATTCAACACTTTGTTGAGCTTCTTTCATTATGCGAATGGGAAGAATGTTAACTGCAGATCCGTCATCTATCAAGATTCTGTTTATCCTCAGCTCCACACATAACCGACCATAAACAAAGGGCGATTGTGTGGTGTCTCACCAAGTAGGAGATCGTCTTCAGTGAAGGTGATTTTTGCATTACAGACATCTGCTTCTTGGAAGGAGAACTCAACAAGACTATTAGACAGTGATGGAGAGAGTGTTGACTTGACTTCGTTCTTTTCCTCTTCTTCTTTATCCGCATTACAGCACAAGGCTTTGTCATCATCGTCAGAAATCCTCATGCGAAACCAACTCGGCAAAAATTCTCCCAAAGTCACCGGGTGGCGTGGCTTTTGGTGATGGTGTGTCTCTATCTCCACCTTCTTTGGGTTCTTAACCATTTGTAGCTTCTTTAGTCTTATCACCATCTCATTCCTCGTAGGTTGCTTCGTTGATCCTTTTTGCAGACTCGATTTGCGGCGTCTTCGCCGAGTCACCAGGGTCCATCCTTCTTCATCAGGTTGATCAACTCGGACTTTGTCATTCTCCAACAATTCTTTATCTTCATTCCCTTCACAGGTGCATATCTCAATCGGATCGAATGAGCCAAAGGTAATGGACACATGGTTTGTGCTTTCCTTTTCGTCTTCGAGCTCGATCTTCTTTTGACGAGCCAAATCCATAACTTTGCCCTTGAAAACAAAGCACTTCTCAAGAGGGTGACCTACAAGCCGATGGTATTTGCACTAATTCGGGTCATTGTTTTTCTAGCTTCATCTGGCCGCTTCATCTCTGGCAGCTCAATAAGCTTTAACTCGAGGAGTTCTTCAAATATTGCAGGCACATCAGAGTCTAGAAATGGGTACTCCTTTTCTTGCATCTCTTTTGAGAGTCAACTTTCCGATNGTCAGTTGCGGCCAAGATGTATAGATGTCCTCCAGAAGATTTCGGAAGTGGTCCAACAATATCCAATCCCCAAGCATCAAATGGCCAAGATGCAACAGTAGGGTGTAACATTTCAGGGGGTTGGTGTATAAAATTTGCGTGAAACTGGCAAGCCTTGCATCTTCGAGCATAATCTAAGCAATCTTTCACCATTGTCGGCCAGTAGTAACCCATCCTCTTAATGTGGAAGTGGAGCTTCGGCCCGGATTGATGTGATCCACAAACTCCAGAGTGTGCCTCTTGCATAACTTGAGTTGCTTCATCTTCCTCTAAACATCGCAAGAGAACTCCCTCAAATGATCTTCGATACAAAGTGTCTTTGTAGTAAAGGAAGCGAGGGGCACGCCGACGAATTTCGGTCTTTCTTCTTGGATCTTCTGGAAGTATCCCATAACATAAGTAGTCGATCATGGTTTGTCGCCAATCAACCTTCACAGCTTCAGCGATGGCTACCAAACGCTCGAGCTTGCTTTCTTCATCCTCGTTCTCATCTGGCGGCACTATCCATTTTTGGCAGATAGTGATTTGTGTTTGGCCGGGCAGAGTCAATGTCGAAGCTAGAGCAGCTAAGGCATCAGCTTTCTTATTTTCCTTCCTAGGCACATGCTGAAGAGTTACGTTGCCAAGCCATCCAATCAATTTCTGTGCATAATCATAATAAGGACGTAATTCTGGCTTTTTGACCTCGTAGCTACCTAGCAATTGATTGACCACTAACTCAGAGTCTCCAAAAATATGTAATTGGAGTTGTCTCATATCAACGGCCATCTCAAGCCCAAGTATGATTGCTTGATATTCTGCAACGTTGTTGGTGCAATGTTGCGTTAAGGTGAAGGAATATGGCAAGACTTCTCCTTGAGAAGTGATAAACACAACACCTGCACCGGCTCCTTCACAATGTGCGGCACCATCAAAATACATTTTCCATGGTGGTTGCACTTCGATGACCATTGCATCCTCATCAGGTAGTTCATCAGTCAACTCCCAATCATCAGGAATTGGATGATCTGCCAAGAAATCTGCTAAAGCTTGTCCTTTCACAGCTTTTTGTGGGATATACACAATCTCGAATTGTTGAAATTGGAGGTACCACCTTGCTAATCGATCGTTGAGTACGGGTTTTGACATAACAAACTTGATCAGGTTCGCCCTTGAGACGAGACGGATGACATGAGCTTGAAAGTAGTGCTTCAGCTTTTGAATTGTGAAAACCAACGCCAGACACAACTTTTCGATCGGAGAATACTTCAGCTCATTTGGGGTCATCATCCTACTCAAGTAGTAGAGGGAATTTTCTTTACTTTCACCATTTTCTTGGGCCAAAAGGGCTCCAACTGACCTTTCTTGGGCTGC